AGTGTGAGGTCCCGCTGCAGCTCTCCTTCAAACCAAGTCGTGATGTCGTCGGTTGAGCCGATGTAGAGCAAATCGTCCACATAGACGATGAGTAGGATGTAGTCGGCGCCTTTCGTGAGTCGGTACATCCCTTGGTCATGCGGCAGTTGGCGGAATCCGATGCGGATTAGTCGGGTATGTAGATATTGCTGCCACAGCCTCGGGGCTTGCTTGATGCCGTACAAGGATTTCAGTAGTTGACATACTTGGTTGGGGTCTGTGTTAGACCCGTGCGGTTGCTCTACGAAGATCTCGGCATCGACGGGAGCGTAAAGAAAGGCGTTGGCGCCGTCGATTTGGCGGAGCTTCTTCCGCTTCATGGCGGCTATCGCGAGGAGAATTCGGAGAGAGGTATGTCGGCTAACCGGTGCAAAAGTTTCGGTGAAGTCTCGTCCATGCTCTTGGTCGAAACCGCGTACGACCCAGCGTGCCTTCAACTTATAAATCGTTCCGTCAGCTTTCCTCTTCACGCGGAAAACCCATTTTCCCGTGAGAACGGTTTTGTTGCGTGCCACTCCGATAGGCACTATCTTCCAGGTGTTTCTATCTTCTAGCGCCTTCAATTCCTTGTCCATGGCTTCGCGCCATTTTTCCCTGTGCTCCCCCCCCAGAGCCTGCAGAACCGTGGCAGGCTCCTTCGGTGGCGCTGCTCCGTGGACGGCGGTGACGAGTCCCAGTATCTGCAGTCCACTCTGTGTGTAGCGAGGGAGATTTGCGTCCTCGGGATAAGCTGCTTCGTCTCCCGCTTCTGGATCAAGTAAGAAATTGGGTCCTATGCGTTCGGAAATGTTGGTGTCGACCGGTTGGGGTGTAACGTAACCGTTGTTGGCGAAGTCGTAGTAGACTTCGGCGTTGACACTTTCGCGAGGGTTGTCGTCGTCCATAGGGATGTCCACCGAGCAGTAGGGAAGAGGTCCGGCTTCCTCCGAAGCTCCGTCCACGTTCTGCTCGTCCCAGTCAGCTTCATCTGCTGCCAAAGCGAAGGCTCGGTCCCCACGAAATCCGCCCGTGACATCTCGTTCTACTTCCAGGTTGTCCAGGTACGTCTGAAGGGTGAGGCGCTCGTAGAAGATCACATCACGTGCTGTTTCCTTCGTGTGGACGTCGAAAATCTTCCACGCGTTGTAGTGTTTTTCAATGCCCAGGTGTAGCCCCCACTGTGCGCGTTGGGAGAATCGGCCGGCTCGTGCAGCTGGGGGTCGGTACTGTACCATGCAGCCGAACACTCGTAACATTTTTGTGCTGCCCAATTTTCCTGTCCACAGCAGATGCGGTGATGCGTTGTTCGGAAGCGATGATGACGAGAGCAGATTGTGCAGCATTACAGCATGGTCCATCGCCTCGGGCCACTGGTGGTTGGGTAGCCGCATGCCACGTAGCAGCTTGCGCATGGTGTTCTGGAGGGTCCTGTTCATTCTTTCTGCCACGCCTTGTTGCTGATGGGCGTAGGGAAGCGAGTTGAGTCGCTTGATGCCTCTCTTTGCTAGGTACTGCTTGAACCTCTGTGACTGATATTCCCCTCCTCCGTTTGACTGGGAGCTTTTTAGCTTCACTCCTGATTCCCGTTCTGCTACTGGAAGCCAGGCGACGAAGGCTTCGAAAGCCATGTCGCGGCTCGGAAGGTTGAGGTGCCAGACGTATCGGGTGGCGGCGTCGATGAACGTGATGACGTAGTTGTAGGCTCCTTGTCCGCTTTCACGGTTGAACAATATGTCACTGTAAACCTTCTCCAGTGGTGCGTATGCAGGTGCGCTCGAGTTATGGTGAGAGACGAACGGTTGATGGGGTAAGTCGGCTTTAGGGCAGGTAAAACATGTTCCGCGAACTCGTTGAAGTTCTCTGCCGTCGTGTATTAGCAGTGAGTCCTTGTCCAGTACTCCATCTCTTATCGTGTTATTTAATGTTGTGTTGCTCGGGTGTCCCATCCTTGCATGCCAGATTGATTCGCTGGCGCGATGTCCGGGTGATCGCCTGTACAGGTCGGAGTTGGAGTAGAAGCTGGCGGTGAGGTTGGCGCTTCTGTGGACTTCGCGTGGAGTGGGAGTCAGCTGTTGCGCAGGAGTCGGTGGAGTGTCGTCGATGAAAATTGGTGCTGTTGAAGGACCTGCGATTGGTGTCGTAGTTGGTGTTGCCTCTCCTGTTGCTGGTGCTGTCTCTGCTGCTGCCGGTGTTGTCTCTGCTGCTCCTGATGTTGTCTATGTTGCTGCCGATGTTATCTCTGCTGCTCCCGGTGTTGTTTCTGCTCCTGTTGTCGTTGTCTCTGCTTCTCCTGTTGTCTGTTGAATTGTTGCTAACGCTCTCGTCCGTTCTGCTTCAGGTATAGTGTGCGAGTACCAGAAGCCCCCGGGACTGAAGTCGGGGTCGAGATCTTGCGGGTGTGTCCAAGAGGTGAAGTTGACGATTCCGTCGCTGTCGGCGGTGCCTTGATCTGGAACGAAGTCGAGGACGAAGGCATTGTTCTTCAGTACTGCCTTGCCGATGTAGAGTCCTCCCTTCCCATTGTACAGCTTGAACTCCTGGGTGGTGCTGTCAGCTTCGAGAAGGATTCCCTTCGCCATCAGTTGACTGACGCTGAGTAAGTTGTAGCCGAGTCCTTCTGCGATTAAAACCTTCGACATTTGCAGAATAACGTTGGTTTCTCGAGACTGAAGTTGAACTATCCCTTGTCATCGTGTGCGCAGGTTCTGGTTGTTGGCGACAGTGATTACGACTTCGCGGTGAAGCTGCTGTTCTCGTTGAACGAAACGACCTGATGAGCACATGTGCTGTCCGCAACAACTGTCCAAGAACCAAGTATCTTTTCCGGACGGTTCGCTTTGGGCGATGGCTGCATACGTCGGATTCGGCTCCAATGACTCACGGCTAGGAGTGCTTTCATCGAGCTGTTCTTCTGGTGAGTAGTACGGTGGTGATTCGGTGATGCAGGAGTCTGTTGTTTTTGCCATGCAGCTCACGATGTTTCTTGTGACTTGTGCAGGTTGTGCCGTCGATGTCGTTGAGGACTGTACTTGATTAGTGGGATGCGCCTGTGTAGAAGCCACTTGACGGCTTGAAGGTCGAAGTTGACGTTGCGGCGGCGTTGACTGCTGTTGATTTGGGCAGTGAGTGCGAGGATGTCCTGACGTCTTGCAGAGATGGCAGAACGGTGGTACGTGTCGTTGTGCTTGATGCTTGTTCTGTCGGTTGTTGTTGTTGTTGTTGTTGTTGTTGTTGTAACGCCGTTGAGTGTGAAACGCGAACTCAGGTGCTGACGCTCTTTTCTTGTGACGTTCTTCGTGCAGGTCCATGTCCTGCTGTTCGGCGTGGATTTTGGCGCAAAGTGCCGCTTCAGAGATCTTTCCGTGGGCTCGGAGAAGAGCTCGAGTGGAGCGCCAATGAGGACCGAGGCCAGTGATGACGACTGCGACGAAGGCTTCTTCAGATATCGATCCACCGCATCGGAGGAGTCTGTCGCGCAGTCCGCGACAACGACTGATATACGCCATTCCCTTTTCGCCTGGTTTCATTTCCACTGTTGTCAGTTGTGCCATGAGACGACTCTGATTAACGCTGTCTGTTGCTTGATACGGGTTCTTTAGGTGGTTGTACGCGAGCTTGTCGGAGTTGCCGTATCCACGATACGACCGGATATTCTGCTGCTCGTTTGGCGTTATGTTTCGTAGGAGTATCGTATACGCCATCAGCGACTGATATGTGTACTGCTGCTTGTCATACTGTGTCCGTGTGTTGGGTATGGCAGGGACCCGTCGAAGAATCCAAGAATCTGTACGCCCTCCATCATCAGCTCGAACTCAAACGACCAGGTATAGAAATCCTTGCCGTCGAACGGTGTCGATGTTTGCAGTTTCAAAACGTGTGCGAAGTGCGTCTAATGTCTTCTCTTGTCCAGGTGGAGGCTGGTTGGGCATGAAGCTGATGGAGCCGCGTTGAGGCTCGTACGGAGCAAAGGTGGGTTGCTGCTGATTTCCGCGCGCATAGGATGAGCCATCAAGACTCATGGGTGTGACGCCGTTGTTGTTGTCGCTGTTGTTCGATTGTGCAGGTGCTGCTTGCTGGTGTTGCTCGTAGAACGACATGAAGGAGAAAAACTTCTCCATCATGCTTGGGTCGAAGCCGGTTGTTTGGTTTGTAGGAGTTTCAGTAGACTCAGCAGCTGGTCTCGTTGCTGTACCTCCCTCTGTCTGTAGGCCAGAGGCTGGAGGTGGAGTAGGAGTAGTGCCTGGAGATCCGTTAGAGGAGCTTCTCTCCTTCTGTGTTGCCATGCCTTCTATTATAGGAGTTTGAATGAAGTTGGATCTTGCCTTGGAGGCTCTCATACCATGTTGGGCTGAGAAAATAGCCCTTAGGATCGTTGCAAGGCTAAGACCCTGAGTAGGGATGGTGTAATTGCGGAAGCGTTTTTAATTAACTGTTGAACCACCTTGCGCTAGTGTGTGAGAGCAAGAGATTGATTATAGCAAAGTAATACAAGGTTTTTATATGATTACAGAGAATACGAAGAGATGCATTTTTAACTGTTTTGTTGCTGTTGCGGTTCGATACAGCGACGACTCGGGCAACTGTCGCGCTGCCTTTCGTCAAGTCAAAGGTCGCCGACCTTTGACCTTCGCGTAACCTCCAGCTGTTACGTTTTGTCAACCTCCTTGGTTGACTCGCCGTTGCTTCGCTGTAATTTGCCTCGTTTGCAGTTCGATGTTCCGACACATCAGTAGCGTTAAATTACTTCTTTCCAACAAATCTGAGGGCCTGCCCGTAACAGACAATTCTTTCCATTGCATGAAAAGTGAGAATCTTTTCATTTACCATGCGGCACAATCAATCAGCCACTAACGATATTTCATTTGAAGTAACTAGCACCGTTTTCGGCCGTGTATGAGCTGCTGCTATAGGGTTGCTCCGAGCCTACATATGAGTTGCTCGAGCCCTCAGCAAAGCTAGGCTCGTTCCCTTGTGTCTGCCCGTCATAGCCCTCCCCCTCTGCTGGGTATGCGACTGGAATAGCTGCAGCCTTGTACAACCTGGTGTGGGGAAGGCAATAAAGGGGATAGGAATAGGTGTGAGGCATGCAGCTTGGTGCAACTCTTTCCCAAACCCCCACCCCCCCCCTCCACCGCTCCCTATCCCTCACCCCATCCCCTGCTCCCCACACCCCATCCCCCACCAGCACACTCCCTCCCAGCCATCCCCAACCCGATGCCAAAACACACCCGGTCTCACACCTAACCATCCACCTCCCCCCAAGCCTTGCCCCTCAGTTTCGGTGTCGCCGAGCTTGTCGCCGAGCCTGACGGCTCGGAAGACGTAGATAGGCATGGAGAGGGCCTGCATCATGCAGGCGATGGTGATGACCAGGAAGCCAATCCAGAGCATCTGGAAATCCGTGACCATCGCCTGCGCCTCGTCCAATGCAAACTGGAATGAGAGGGAGAGGAGGGAGATGAGGGGAGAAGCGAACCGGAATGTGACAAGGAGGACCAGGAGGCCGACCCAGAGCATGTGGATATCCACCACCATTTCCTGTGCCTCGTTCAATGCAAACTGTGGGGGCTTTGACAGGGAACCGAGGAGAAAAGGGAGAGGAGGGAGATGAGGGAGAGTAGGGAGATGAGGGAGTTGAGGGAGATGAGGGAGATGAGGGAGAGGAGGGAGAGGAGGGAAATGAGGGGAGAAGCGAACCGGAATGTGACAAGGAGGACCAGGAAGCCGACCCAGAGCATGTGGATATCCACCACCATTTCCTGTGCCTCGTTCAATGCAAACTGTGGGGGCTTTGACAGGGAACCGAGGAGAAAAGGGAGAGGAGGGAGATGAGGGAGAGTAGGGAGATGAGGGAGTTGAGGGAGATGAGGGAGATGAGGGAGAGGAGGGAGAGGAGGGAAATGAGGGGAGAAGCGAACCGGAATGAGACAAGGAGGACCAGGAAGCCGACCCAGAGCATGTGGATATCCACCGCCATTTCCTGTGCCTCGTTCAATGCAAACTGTGGGGGCTTTGACAGGGAACCGAGGAGAAAAGGGAGAGGAGGGAGATGAGGGAGACGAGGGAGATGAGGGAGAGGAGGGAGATGAGGGAGAGGAGGGAGATGAGGGAGAGGAGGGAGATGAGGGAGAGGAGGGAGATGAGGGAGAGGAGGGAGATGAGGGAGAGGAGGGAGATGAGGGAGAGGAGGGAGATGAGGGAGAGGAGGGAGATGAGGGAGAGGAGGGAGATGAGGGAGAGGAGGGAGATGAGGGAGAGAAGGGAGTCTGAAGGTGAGGTAGCACGTAATTTAACATGACCAGGGTTTAGGGTTCTGCAACACGTGACAGAACAGCTGATTCAGAGCATCTGGGTATCTTTTGAGACGTCTAAAAAGCAGAACAGCCGACCCAGAGCATCTAAGAATCCACCACCATTGCCTGTGCCTCGTTAAATGCAAACTGGGGGACGATTTTGAGGGGGAGGGGGAATGGTGCATGTGGGAAAGAGTTTTCCTGAATAGACCAGGAAGCCGACCCAGAGCATCTGGAAACACACCACCATTGCCTGTGCCTCGTTCAATGCAAACTGGGGGAGCATTGACAGGAAGACGAGGAGACAAGGGAGAGGAGGGAGAGGAAGAAGACGAGGGAGAGGAGTTGCAACAGCCATACCTTGGTAAAACATCCTCCCTCCCTCTCACCGCAGCAATGTTGGCGACATAGGAGCAGTTGACTAGGAGGAGCACGTTGGGGATGGTGGATTCTTTTCCATAGAAGCCCCAAGAGTCAGAACTCCACAGCACTGCACCGCACTGCACCACACCACACAGCAACGCACAGCACTGCACTGCATACGGCATTCTCACCGAGGCAATTTTGGCGACGTAGGAGCAGTTGACGAGGACGAGCACGTTGGGGATGGTGGATTCGAGCAGCGAGAGCGTTTTGGCGTTCTGAACCGCCACCGGCACTGCCGTGCTGCTGTTGGCTGCTGCTGCTAGCTCCTGAGGGGGAAAGGCATTGGGGAGAGGAGCAAGGAAGGGAACAGGCATTGGGGAGAGGAGCAAGGAAGGGAACAGGCATTGGGGAGAGGAGCAAGGAAGGGAACAGGCATTGGGGAGAGGAGCAAGGAAGGGAACAGGCATTGGGGAGAGGAGCAAGGAAGGGAACAGGCATTGGGGAGAGGAGCAAGGAAGGGAACAGGCATTGGGGAGAGGAGCAAGGAAGGGAACAGGCATTGGGGAGAGGAGCAAGGAAGGGGCGGGGACAGTGGTGTGACAAAGACGCACAAAGGGGTTCAAATTTCAATCAAACCACCGCACAGATGTCTCTTTTTTCATAGATTTTAAGCATGTCTTTTGAGACGCCTCAAGAGCTACTGCACGCTACTGCCTGCACACCATGCTGCATTGGAGACGTCTCAAGACTTACCGCACTCTACCGCATGCTACTGCCTGCACACAATGCTGCTCCAACCCAACCATCCACATTGACAGTCAAGACACATCAGCAGCAGTAGAGAAGTCAGCACACATGCCACGTCAGCACACACGCCACGTCAGCACACACGCCACGTCAGCACACATGCCACGTCAGCACAGCCATCCCACTCACGTCCACCAGCTGCTGGAAGGTGACGGTGTCGGCACCGCAGTAGCTCATGTTGCGCGTGTAATCGGGCGGCGGGCCGTACGGTACACAGATGCCACCCGTTGCATTGACCAGGTCAAAGGCCTGTGATGGGCGGCAGGGAGGCAGAGATGAGAGGGAGGAGATTCTGAGATTTGAATATATACCCATATTCATTCCAAAAAAAAAAAAAAAAAAAACCGTCTTGGGCGTTGACCAGGTCAAAGGCCTGTGATGGGCGGGGGGAGGCAGGGAGGGGGAGGGAGGTCGGAGGGGTTGGAGGGGAATTTAGAGAGATGCCTAACATTCCTGGAGGGGCAGCAATCGCTGCACTCACCCTAGGCGCCGCAAGCATTGCAGTCACCTTTGGCGCGTAGACTTCTTCCACACCTTCTCCCCCACCCCGAAAATGACTACTCTTCGAGTGTCACTACACATTGCAGCACAGCGAAACTATGAGCTGCACTCATTTGACTTCTTCACTGCCTTTCTTCAGGGCCGCCTGCACAAGGAGAACTGGCTACGCCGTCCTCCTGGCTTCACTGGTACTTTCCCGCCTGGGACCCAGTGGAACATGAAAATACCAGTCTACGGACTGCGCCAGGCTGAGTTGCCTCCCCTAAAAAGTCATTCCAATTATTGGTAGGCGCCGGCACTCACTTGAGGTGCGTTGGTGGCGACAGACGTGTTGGCAGTCGTGAGCGCGGTGGAAGCAGTGTAGCGCGCGTAACGAGTCGCGTTCAGCAGCTGGTCGCTGGGAATGCAGTGGAGGTAGGTGTCCATGGCGCTGTTGACGGTGGGGTCTTGCTCCACCTCCTCGAGTGCAACGCTGGTATCGCCGTTCACTCTGGTGGTGGAAGGGATGGGAGGGAGTAGAGATGAGGGAGGGCGTAGGCTAGACTGCTGGGAATGCAGTGCAGGTAAGTGTCCATGGCGCTGTTGACGGTGGGGTCTTGCTCCACCTGCTCTAACGCCACGCTTGTATCGCCGTTCACCCTGGTTGCGAATGAAGGGATGGAAAATTGGGGATTGAAAATGGGATCAAGTGGAGTAAACATGCAACAACATTAATCAGAGTAAAGAAAAAACAAAGGGCGTGCAAAAGGGCGTAAATGCTTGCAATGCGTATGGTTTACGAGAAGGGTATGGCACGGACGGAGCAATGAAGGCATAACAACATGGACTTATCAAGCATATACGTATGGTTTACAGATGTAATGCAGTTAACACTCACAAATATGCGATTATCAAACCGGCCGTGGTGCACCAAGTAAAGAACACCACCACCCATATTATAGTGACGGTGCTGTTAAAGGGGATAGACAAACAACAAAGAAATGGGGCATAATGAGCGTGGAAATAATTGCAAAAGCATGAAGTTGTTTAGGAAGAACATTATCGGTGCTAAATAGGAAAGCGGTTAACATAAAGCAGCTATGCCGTCACATAGGATATGGAGTACTTATAAAGCAATACTGAGCCCAGCACATGACAAAAACGCATTTGTAGCTTGTTGGTTTGTTACCATCAATCAGTGAAAGACTAGCCTTTGTAATGCTTTCTACGATCAAAGCTTTCTGGCGCGTATGAATGCAATAAGAAAAAAAACACTGACACATTTGATGCGACAGCCCATTTGAGAAGCGAAAAAACTGGCGGGAGACAGCATAGGGGAGGTTATGGGGGAGGGAGGGCATAGGGGAGGGAGGGCATAGGGGAGGGAGAGGGGAGCGGGGGATGACGAGTTGGACAAGATTGGTGAGGGAGAGAGATAGAGGGGGTAAAAGGGCAGAAACGGCAAAACTCAGAAAAGTAAATGGTGAATATGCAGAGAGTTGATGTTTGAGTCAGCTCAAAAGTCAACTACGAAGGGAAGAGCGAACTGAGGGCGAAGATGTAAAGAGTTGATTTTTAGACGCACGGAGGGAAGGGAACTCAGACGCTAACTAGGAGGGGAAGATAGGAGGAAGAGAAGAGAGGAGGGAGAGTAGAGAGGAGGGAGAGAAGAGAGGAGGGAGAGAAGAGAGGAGGGAGAGAAGAGAGGGGGAGAGAAGAGAGGAGGGAGAGAAAAGAGGGGGAGGGAAGAGAGGAGGGAGAGAAAAGAGGGGGAGGGAAGAGAGGAGAGAGGGAAGAACGAACTGAGGGAGAAGATGTAAAGAGTTGAATTCTAGACACAAGGAGGGAAGGGAACTCCAAAGCTAGCTAGGAGGGGAAGATAGGAGGAAGAGAGAGAGAGGAGGGAGAGAAGTACGCACTGAGGGCGAGGATGCAAAGAGCAGTGATGACACAACCGATGATGGAGAATGTGAGAGTGCTGCCAGAGGGGTGGGAGGAGGGGGGTGTGGGGAGGAACAAGGAGAGGGAAGAACACACTTAGAGCGGAGAGCATTGATGATGCAACGGATGATGGATTTTGGGACGTCTCAAAACACACAACTGATGATGGAGAAGGTGAGAGAACTGCCAGGGGGGTGGGAGGGGGGGGTTGTGGGGGGAACAAGAAGAGGGAAGAACACACAAAGGGCGAGGATGCAAAGAGCAGTGATGACACAACCGATGATTGAGAAGGTGAGAGTGCTGCCAGGGAAGGGGGAAGAGAGAGCACGGAGGGGTTGGGCAGGAAGGGGGGGCAGGAAGGCAGGGAGGGTCTTTGAAACATCTCAGAAGATGCAGAGAGCAGTGATGATGCATTCGATGATGGAGAAGGTGAGAGTCCTGGGAGCGGAGGAAAGGGGAGAGAGGGCACGGAGGGGCTGGGCAGGGAGGGCCTTTGAGACATCTCAGAGGATGCAGAGAGTGGTGATGATGCAACCGATGATGGAGAAGGTGAGCGTTCTGTCAGAGAGGGGGGGAGACAGGAAGGGAGGGCAGGGAGAGGAGGGCAGGGAGGGGGGGAAAGGAGGGAGGGAGGGGAGGCAGGGAGGGGAGGCAGGGAGGGCCTTTGGAGCAGGCTAGACACATGCTCGTGAGTGAGCCAATTCGATGCTCGTTGTGTGGGCTGGAGGAGGGGAGGTAGCCTTGCAGCACCGCTCTGCACCACCCCACCCCACCGCACTGCACTCACACTTCGCGCAGCGCGTTGATGATGGTGATGCCACCCGCTGTTTTGTCCTGAAGCTCCGTGGCTGTCTGGTTTCCCACTCATGTACCATATTGCACACTGCACATCACCGCATTGCACCCCACCGCACTGCACCACACTGCACCGCAATCCACTCACACTACGCGCAGTGCATTGTTAATGATAGTGATGCCATCCGAGCCTTGGCCTGCAGCTCTGTAGCCGTCTGGTTTGCCACTCTCGTACCGCATTGCACACCGCACATCACTGCACCGCACATCACCGCATTGCACTCCACCGCACTGCACCGCATTGCACTCACACCACCCGCAGTGCGGTATTAATGATGGTGATGCCGTTCGCTGTCTTAGCCTGCATATCAGTACCTGGCTGATTCGCCACTCATGTACCACATTGCGCACCGAACAACACCGAATTGCACCGCATCACACCCCACCCCACCCCACCCCACCACACTGCACCGCACTGCACTCACACTACACGCAGTGCGTTGTTAATGATGGTGATGCCATTCGCTGTCTTGGCCTGCAGATCAGTAGCTGTCTGGTTTGCCACCACCGCCTTGCTCTGAATGTCTGCCTTTTTGTCCGCTGATGAAAGGGGATGGAGGGAGAGGGAGCGAGAGGGAGGGAGAGGGAGGGAGAGGGAGGGATGACGAATGCCTGTCTGGTTTGCCACCACCGCCTTGCTCTGAATGTCCGCCTTCTTAGCCGCTGCAGGTGGATGCAGGGACAAGGTGAGAAGGGGGAGGAGAATAGAGTGGAGAAGGAGGGAGGGGTGATTGCCTGTCGGTTTGCCACCACTGCCTTGCTCTGAGTGTCCGCCTTTTAAGCAGCTGCAGGTGGATGCAGGGGGAGTAAGGTCTTTATGATAACGCCGGCTGTGAAAATAATGGCATTGGTTATAAGGGTGGTTACCTTGTGCACATGTTCCTAAGAACTCTTCAATGAAACAGCACACGCTGTTAAAAAATACATATACAAATATATAAGCACACGGTGTTAGAGCACACATTGCTCCGCCTAATTATATATATCTATATACACCTAATACATATTTATATATATGTTTAATATGTCTGTGATAAATATTTATACATATATATATGTATATCTATTCATGATACATATGTGTGAGTGTGTGTGTGTGTGTGTGTGTGTGTGTGTGTGTGTGTGTGTGTGTATGTATGTATGTATGTATGTATGTATGTATGTATGTATGTATGCGTATGTATGTATGTATGTAGGTATGTATGTAGGTATGTATGTATGTATGTATGTATGTATGTATGTATGTATGTATGTATGTATGTATGTATGTATGTATGTATGTATGTATGTATGTATGTATGTATGTATGTATGTATGTATGTATGTATGAATGTATGTATGTATAAAAGATAAACAGCACGCACGTGGGACGACGGTGTTGGTGATGTTGATGGTGGAGGTGAGCTGCACGATGCTGGTCATGTTGAAGATCACAGCAGTGGTGAAGTCAACCGACTCTGTGATATAGTCCGTCACCGTGTGCACTCGTTGCTAGAGAAACCCTAGACTCGCTCTAGAGAGCACGCGTTGCTGAGGGAGGGAAGGACCCTAGAAAGCAGAGAAAGGAACGCACGTGGGACGACGGTGTTGGTGATGTTGATGGTGGAGGTGAGCTGCACGATGCTCGTCATGTTGAAGATCACAGCGGTGGTAAAGTCAACAGTCTCTGTGATATAGTCCGTCACCGTGTGCACGCGGTTACTCAGCTGCACACCCCCTGCAAGCATCACAGAGAATCCGACGCTGGGGAAGTAGGGACGAGAGAAGGTCAGGAGGGGGACGGGAGGGGGAAGGGAGAAAGGGTGAAGTCAACAGTCTCTGTGATAAAGCCCGTCACCTTGTGCACTCTGTTCTGTAGCTACACACCCCCCGGAAGCATCACAGAGAATCCGACGCTTTGGGTTCAAAGAGGGGAGTGGGGAGGCAGGGGGAGTGGGGGGGGGCAAGGTGGGGGAAAGGGAAGGAGATGGGTGAAGTCAAAGGTCTGTGTGATTAAGCCCGTCACCTTGTGCACTCGGTTACTCAGATGCACGCCCCCCGCAAGCATCACAGAGAAACCGACGCTGGGGGGGGGGAGAGGGGGGCAAAGGATGGGGAAGTAAACGGGAAGGGAAGGGGAATGGTGAAATCACCAGTCTCAGTGAAAAAGTCTGTCACCTTGTGCACTCGGCTCTGTAGCTGCACAACCCCCGCAAGCATCACAGAGAAGGGGGTAGGGAGGCAGGGGTTTAAAAGAAGGGAGGTAGGGAAATGGAGGGTTGAAGAGGGGGGGAAGGTTGCAGATTCACACCACCCCATCACAGAAAGGAAGGAAAATAAATAAAATACAACTAATGCGCCAGCAATGCATTTACGCAGTTACGTCCATACAGCTGGTCTCCAAAGCAAGAGAGGAATACCATCTCCGTTACAAGCGTTCCCAATACCAGTACTCACACCTGTGTTCACTTTTAGGTCTGACTGAAAAGTCACCCTGATGGATCTCACAGCACGGCGACAATCCCAAGGCGAACTCAAAATTTCGAGACAGAACTAGCTAGGGAGAAAGCGAGAGAGATAGAGAGCGAAAAAAACACTCGTTACAAGCATCCTCGACTCCAGCACTCACAGCACGGCGACAATCCCGAGGAGCATGAACCCCAGCGGCACCCAGAGGTCCTTCTTGGTGTACTTGGCGTATGCTGGGTCCCTCATCTCGCTCCACTTGTCGCGACAGCACAGGCAGGTGAGCAGCGAGAATCCGAGAATCCCGAGGCCCAGGATCAGCCAGAGGAGGCCGAGCAGCGGCGCGTAAACCACTGACCAGATGACGGACTGGGGGAGGGGACGGTGGCGAGGGGTGGGGATGGGTGGGGAGGGGTGCAAGGTCAAGGACAGGAGCAGCGGTGAGCAGTGCAGCCAGAGGAGGCCTAGCAGCGGCGCGTAGACCACCGACCACATGACGGACTGGAGGGGGGGGAAGAGGAGGGGAAGGGGAGAGAGGGGGGGGTTGGGGGGAGGGGTGTTAGGTCGAGGGAGATGGGAAGCAGGTGAGCAGAGAGAATCCGAGAATCCCGAGGCCCAGAATTAGCCAGAGGAGGCCTAGCAGCGGCGCGTACACCACGGACCACATGACGGACTGGGGGGTAGGGGACGGTGGCGAGGGGTGGCGAGGGGTGGCGAGGGGTGGGGACGGGTGGGGAGGGGTGTAAGGTCAAGGACAAGAGCAGCAGCGAGCAGTGCAGCCAGAGCAACCCGAGCAGCGGCGCGTAGACCACCGACCACATGACGGACTGGGGGAGAGGGGGGGAGGGAGGGAGAGAGGGAGAAGGGGGGTGGGTGGGTGGGGTTTGGTGCGAGGAGTTACATCGCATGAGTGGGTTACGTGAGTTACATGCAGAGGACTCCGTGGAAATCATATGATACGAGCTGGTTTTTGAAAATTCTCAGGAAACCAGCTCCGAGTTACATCGCATGAGTGGGTTACGTGAGTTACATGGGGAGGACTCCGTGGATTACGTGGATAACGCGGGTCACGTGAGTTACATACGTTACGTGATTTACGTGGGTTACGTGGGTTAAGTGGGTTACGTGGGTTTAGTGTGGGATCATGTCGGCTAGGTGAGTTGTGGATCACGTGAGTTACGTGTATTACGTGAGTCACGTGGGTTACAACTTACGTGAGTTACTCGTTCTTTCGCGAAACACGTACCGCCCAGTAGTCCTTGCTGCTGGGGTTCCAGCCGCCCGTGTAGTAGTTAAGCCCGTTGAGGGGGTTCTTGCGGTACGTGCGGTTCGGAGCGAGAGTCATGTTCTGCAGAGGAGGAGCTTGCAGCGCGCGGCGATTCACGTGATTCCAACGGTCGGAACGGTGGTCCGCGTGACTCAAACGGCCGGCGCGCTTCAAAAGGTCGGCGTGACTGTAACGGGAGTGCTCGAAAAGCGCTACGCGAGGCGCTTCTGCTAAAACGTTCTGAATAAGCGTGTGATAATAAAGAGCGGTCTCTGGTAGGTCATAACGATAGTCCATGGGATTCTTCTGTGATGCTGCCACGTCATCGACCGAGAACGACCTGCTAATACTGTTCGATCCCACCGCGACTCGCGCCGTCGAATCCGGGTCGGCCGCGCTCAAACGCGGCGCGATAGCTACACCGCATATGGCAAGGAGGAGGAGGGGATAGATATTGCTAATGCTCGCCATCTGTGAACGGCTACAAGAGGCCGAAGCGCGGTCTGTGCGATGCCGAGTGCCCTCTTTCTTTGGCGAAACTACACCACCGGCGCCTCCTCTCCCGCGCGGGTCGTCCATCTTCTTGCGTGGACGCTTGATTCCCCACATCAACCAGGCCGTTCTTGCAATCGGAGTAACTAGACGTCTCGTTTAAAAGAGCGTACGTCTAATTAGTGTAGTTTCTTGACGTCTAATGAAGCAGCTCTTTATGGCTATCAACCCTTTCTTAGTAACAATTTGTGCTGCGAAAATCAGTTCCGCGTACAGCGCAACCAGCGGCAAGGTAAAGCGCGAGTGAGCAAGAGCGACAGATGTTCAAAAGTAGAAACACCAGACAGAAAGGGTCAGCAGCAGCATAATGGCATTTGTTTATTGGGTAAGTAGCTTTCGCAGGGGTACTACTAGCGACCCTGCGCTTTCAAGGGGACTACAGTGCTAGGTGCGGGCACTTTCCGCCCCTCCGCCACTCCGACAGGAACATTATGGCAACAACACAGAACTCGGTCCCAAATTCACCCACGTGTCACAAATTTGGAAAGTTAGAAAACGCATGGCAAAAAAAATAAAACCCGTAGGGAACCTGGACTCATTTTCGGGAGGGATCAACCCTAAACACGGGAACCCACAAATTTTTTAGGGTTGATGCCTCCCCGAGACGCATCCTTTCCCGATTGGGATTTAAGCCAATTCCCTCTGGCCCTAGTATAATTGCTGTGAGCGCTGTGCTGCCACAGGGCTGGCTAACCACTGGCTCTACTCGCCTGCCAAGGAGGGGGGTTGGGGTCCCAGAGGGCAGTAGCGGAGCTGGACCACTAGTGCAGCTGAGCTGATTAGAGCTGATTAGGGTTAGCAAAGTACCAGCCTATCTCGCCTGCCAAGGATGGGGGCGGGCTGGGGTCCGCAAGGGCACTGGAAGATCTGATTCTCTGCCTAAAGTCTAAACAGTGGCTCTATAATAATCAGGGGGACCGGGCTGGCCAGGCCAACCACTGGCTGGCTCTACTCGCATGCCTGCCACGGATGGCGGCTGGGCTGAGCTGCTGTGGCCCTCAAGAGCTTTAGTGGAACTGATCGGAAATTAAGTTCAGGAAAAGTGGTACGTACCACAGTATATGATGGTGATTGATTGATTGATTCTAAGAATCTCATCATCGCAAGCACGTTGTTGTGATACGGTACTGTATGTCTGGAACGATTATGCTGTTCAAGAGGCCGATCAAGCTTCTGCCCGGTGCATAATAATAGATCACTATGCTGTTCTGCGAAACACAAACATAAATATCACTATTTAAGGCTACATAATGGCAACACCATGCATGCACAGTGCACCCATCAAATAAATTAGAACTAGCATGGTTGCTGCTGCTGGTGGCAAGAGAACATGAATACAAAACTACCAAGTGGTACATTCATCATGACCTACTAGACTCCTCGCCTCCTACCCTAAAGCAGCAATAAATCGGTGACAACCGCCCAACACTTCCGCCTAGGCTGCGATATTTTCACTCCACAAACCCCCGTCCCTTCCCATACTGCTCCTTCTGTTCTCGCCCAACTGCTCATGCTGCTTCATTCATGCTCGCCCTGGCTAAATCTTCCCACACCACCATACCATCTGCCCAAAACGTGCCTCCTCCAATTTTGTCGCCAGCTGTTTGAGCGGTTCCCCCTGGCTCCCCTTACTGCTGCTGCAATCGTCCTGACACCTCTGTCCCCCCCTCTGCTTCGACCAAGAAGCACCAAAATCTGCTCACATCCAAGCCTGCTCACATCCAAGCCTGCTCACATCCAAGCCTGCTCACATCCAAGCCTGCTCACATCCAAGCCTGCTCACATCCAAGCCTGCTCACATCCAAGCCTGCTCACATCCAAGCCTGCTCACATCCAAGCCTGCTCACATCCAAGCCTGCTCACATCCAAGCCTGCTCACATCCAAGCCTGCTCACATCCAAGCCTGCTCACATCCAAGCCTGCTCCCATCCGAGCCTGCTTCCGACTTGATTAGCTCACTCACGCTGCATCTCGTAACCCTCGACACGTGCGTCGCCCCTCCTCCCTTCCCCTCTTCACTTCACCCCTTCCCATCCCCTTTTCCCTTCCCCTCCTCCCTTCCCCTCCTCCCTTCCCCTCCTCCCTTCCCCTCCTCCCTTCCCCTCCTCCCTTCCCCTCCTCCCTTCCCCTCCTCCCTTCCCCTCCTCCCTTCCCCTCCTCCCTTCCCCTCCTCCCTTCTCCTCCTCCCTTCCCCTCCTCCCTTCCCCTCCTCACTTCTCCTCCCTTCTTCCCCTCCTCCCTTCCCCTCCTCCTTTCCCCTCCACCCTTTCCCTTCACCATTCACCGCTTGCCAAAAAAGTACCCAAACAGCCCCTTCTTCTGAGGCGCAGCGGCCGCATCCGAGCTTTTCAGGCGTCCCAAAAGCCTCCTCCCTTCCCTCGCTTTCCTCCCTTCCCCTCATCCCTTCCCCTCACTACCTACCCCTCCGCCATTCACCGCTTTCCAAAGAAATACCCAAACAGCCCCTTCTTCTGAGGCGCAGCAGCCGCCGCCGCAGCCGCACCCTTCTTCTCATGCCCCTTACCCGCCCCACCACCACCTCCCTTACCACCACCAGCACCACCGCCACCAGCAGCAGCAGCAGCAGCAGCAGGCGGAGCGGCCTCCGCCTCCTTCTCCCCCTTAGTCTGCTCCGCGTATTTCCTCAGCATCGGCAGCACCACCGTCTCCAGATCCGGCCGGCTCATCCTGTCCCTACATTTCAGCGCCACGTCAGCAACCTCCTTCGCAATCTCCGGGTTCCACTGAACCGTCTTATCCAAATGATCCAGAATCCCCTCCAGCCCGAATTTCGCGAACTCGAGCACCTTATTCACCTTCTCGCCGGTCAACAGCTGCAGGATCACCAACCCTAATCCGTACAGATCCGACTGCGGGCCGTATTTCCCGGTGCGGAGAAGCAGCGGATCGATATACCCCACCGTTCCCCAGATCGAAGAGTCATTCGCGGGGAGGAACTTCGCCAGACCGACTCCGCCGACCTTACAGGAGAGATCTTCATTCAGCATGACGTTTCCGGGTTTCACGTCCTGATGGAGAATCGGCGGCTCGAGATGGTGGAGGAAGAGGAGAGCTTCTGACGCCTCCGCCGCGATTCGCAGACGGTCTTTCTGCCGCATCGTTTTCCGTCCGCCCTCCGTCAGCAGACGGTCCTCGAGGCTCCCCGCCGGGAGCGACTCGTACACGATACAGCGTGCCTCGGGATTGTACCCGAGGAGCTTGACCAGATGAGGGTGGTCCGCGCGCGTTAAAATGGTCACTTCGCGGGTGAATTTCTCCGCGGCTTGGCGGGTGTTATCGGGGTTCAGCTTCATTACAAGCACGGGGGAACCATCCGCGAGCTTTCCGCGGTAGCCCGTGCCGAAGCCGCCGCGGCCGAGCGAGTTTTCCCGCGAGTAGTTATTCGTGGCTTCGTCGAGCTCTTCTGCTGTGAACGTCTTTAAAGCCGCCTCGGTCCCCATCGTGATCTACCGGAGCTGGTAATATTGCTGCTGCTGGTACAGCTGATGATGCTGTCTTTAATCCCTAGAAATACGTGCTGCTGTTGCTTGAGGGTACAGGCTGTTTTGCCGCGAATAGCGCGGCCTATGCTACCTCGGACTCCGACACGTGGCAACAAAATGACATATAAAGTTGCAAGTTTATGATGTGGAACTCGAACCAGATAGTTATTGCCTCAAGTGACCTGCGTCTGTCACACTCGACAATGGCCAGATCGATAGATACCCGCTAACAACAACTATTAACAGCAACGTCCACCGCTTATTTCAATGATATCCTTGACTAGTGCCACCAATTTCGCATACCACAGTTGCTCTGGCCCGTTGCTCTGATGAATAAATGAGACGACACTGTAACGGAAACAAACTCGCAACCGAGAGTAAGGAATCAGGAAGGCCGCGATGGACGGAGACTAAACGACGGCAAAAAATGAGACCCCTAGAAGACCAACTGTTCGAGCCGGAATCGATCTGACTGAGCTATAAAATGCTGCAGGATAACAATATCCTCCCAGACCTAAATAAACACCACAGGTAGCTCCTACCCTAATGCTGCCGTATTGTTGTCTCTAGTAGAGTTGAGCATTCGAATTGCTGCCGCGTGAGTGGCATGACGAATAAATATCCCTCTAGAAACATAAACCCATATCCAACTACAACTTTCAACAATGTAGAGATAATTTCAGTGTAGCAGACCTCCCCATTGAAGACAACATATTGTTACAAGGTCTGCATATAATAAGCGCAAGCTGTCAACTTTTACTGGAAACCGTGATACCATGTACACTTTACACGAGCTGGCCGCAGTCCTGAATAGTAACCTCCACTGACGTCTTGCCACTGTCGCTACCAACTGACTCCAGCTTGTCAACAACATCCATTCCTGTTGGGAACGGGATCCAGATGAATGAACGCTTTACATCTTAAACAAAAAAAAACATGAAAGAACAAACGTCCGCAGCTAACTTCCTCCAGTTCCGAAAAAAATATCACTGCCAGCTTACTGCTCTTCAACAACCGCCATCCTCACACAACTTTCCCCCTCACTCACTTGGGTCCCCCACTAACCTACCGCCTCAGTCACCCCCCCCCCCCCCCCCCCCCTCTTCCGCTTCCCTCCCCCCCTCTTCCCCCACCTCTCCCCCCCTTCTTCTCCCCCCGCTCTTCCCCCCCTTCCTCCTCCCCCCTTCCCCTTCGCTCACCTGAAACCACCTTTCCAAAGACGACATGCTTGCCATCTAGGTGAGGCGTAGCAGTGAAGCAGATGAAGAACTGGCAGTCTGAGGGGGTGGGAGGAAGGAAGGGAGAAGGAGCGGGAAGGGGAGAAAAGAGGGTGGAACATGAGGTGACAGCACCAACGCACAGCCACCTCGCAACTGCAATCAACATTCCAAAGGAGATGTGCTTGCCATCCAGGTGAGGCGAAGCAGTGAAGCAGATTAAGAACTGGCATTTTGTGGGGGTGGGGGGAAAGGGAGGGAGGAAGGAAGGGAGGGAGGGGGAGAAGAGAGGATGAACAGAGCAGTAACGCAAGAGATTGTGAAGCAGACGACGAACTGGCAGTTCGAGGGATTGCGGCGGAAGGACGGAAGGACGGGGAAAAGAGGTTTGACATAGCAGTAACGCAGGGAGAGTTGTGAAGCAGATGACGAACTGGCAGTCTAAGAGGGTGCGGCGGAAGGAAGGAGGGGGGAAAGAGGATCGACAGAGCATTAATGCATGGAAAGATTGACGCAGACGACGCACTGGGGTGGGGAGAGGGAGGAAGAGGGGTGGGGGAAGGGTGAACACCCAAGGCTCTGCTTGCCATTGCTGCATGGCGGGGTCCCTTTTTTGAGGCGCCTAAAACTGGTCCCTAAAATTGGTCCCTGCGACAATCGGTTATCAATCATCTTCACACTCACTATTCGTGTTCGGGCCGCGATTCGCCATGGAGAGAACACCTCTGGCGCTGTGCTTTTGTTTGATTTGTCAGGAAAGTGGACGGCCGGGGGTTGTGGGGAAAAGGCTTGCACTGTGACACACATCCACCAACGTCCCACTCACTATTCGTGTTCGGGCCACGATTCGCCATGGAGAGAACGCCTCTGCCGCTGTGCTTCAGCTCGAAGCTCTCGTCGGGGAACGGCTGTCCAAAGATGGAACTGCCGCAGTTGCCGCCCTGCCATGCGAAAAATGTGGTTTAAAAAAAAAAAAAAAAAAAAAAAAAGAGGGGAAAAAAAATTTCCGAGACGTAGCAGATGGGGAAGTTGGAGAAGACAGGGACGACGGCTTCTTGTCGACCTAAAAGGGCGACGGAGGGTGAGAGGGGGAGTAGTGATAACTAGGGCGAGGCCACAAAGCGCATTGAATAACAGAGCATGATACGTGAAAAGCTCTAGAAAATGTAGACGGTGAGATCTGTTACACCTGCGCAGTCTGCGTTCACCACTTACCTGCGCAGTCGCCTACCCGCGACTCGACACCTGCCTGCGGTTCCACGCGTACCTGCGTTTCGACGCGCACCCGGAGTTCGACACCTACCTGCGGTTCGACACGTACCTGCGGGGCGACGCGTACCTGCGCCATGAATCCGGGGATGATGCGGTGCAGCGTCAGGCCCTTATAGCCCAGACCCGAGCTCGTCCCGTTGCACAAGCCGACAAAATTCTCCACCGTCTTCGGCGCCACGTCCGGCCGGACCTCCACCTCGATTCTGCCGACGGACTGCCCGTCGAACGCAATATCCAGGAAGCATCGTGGCCGCGCTGCGGAGCTCATCGTTGGAGACCGTTCGAAACCGTACGACCGCTGAAAACCGTTTGAAACCGCTGCCGATTTTACGTCTCGGTTCAGAACCGGGCTTCGTTCCGGAAGGCTTTGAGTTTGCCTCCGCGTTCGCGACACGACTGGCGGGTACGAAATGGCGTAACTTTTCGCGAAAGCCGGAAATCTGTATGTCCTCACGGGCGAAAAGCTAATCTGTGGAGGGCGAAACAGATTCTTCTTCAGAATGGAGAGAGCGGAAGGGAGCGACGAGCGGTACGTACGGGCGAGAGGCGGAGAGGAGGCAAGGCGACGACTAGACCAGATCTTATGGAATCATACTACAGCCGTACAAAGTAGAATGTCGCCTGCAGGAATGTATTTTTTTGTCGCATTCAAGAAATGGCTCGCTTGTGGTATTATTCCCTATGCCTGCAACCACGATGAGCTTGCCACAGATCTCGAGGTTGGCGAAATCATTCCGTTACAAAATATCTGTTACCTTCCTGAACACGAACACATGAAGCCTAAGGCTATGAGTTGTCATATCTGTTATTGTTATTGACACCAGCCTAGATAAAAACTGATAATAACGGATTTAGTCGCACCTCATATGTCACATGCACCTTGCCAAGATGGTCAGCCTAAAGAGCACTTTCAGTGTGCTTCGTTCAGCCCCTCCTCACCCCAATGCATTCACAAATCTAATCCCAAGCCAGAGTGTTTTTGAGAATTCTCAGAAACACCCAACACAAAAGACACAGAATGTCAGGATAGCCTGGCAAATAAGACGATCCTATCGAGTAAAACCTGCTGTGTGAATTCCTGAACCTGCCAGCCACATTTCTGAGGCTTTTCAGAAATTGTGCCCAAGATTCTGCCATCACCAGGTTACTATTACCTGCCACGTGTTTCTATTACTCGCAACCTGATAACCAGAAAGAAGAGGTTCCTGGTTCGTTCTTCCTCCAGGTAACCTCAGAACTACCTGCTGTGGTCACTGCTATTGCTGCTGGTAAAGCTGCTGCTGTCCCATCCCCCCCAATTCCCCCTTTGTTGCTTTTGCAATCGCTGCTGCTGGTGCTGCTGCTGGTGGTGCCTGTGTTGCCACTGCAGCTAACGCTGCTACAACCCTAACTTGCAGCCTGCGCACGGACTAGACCCACTGCAGCTACACAACAACCAAACGGCCTGGTTACCAGTAACCTCCCCCCCACGCTACGTTGGAAGCAATTTGGATGTGAGAATCCTCCTGCCTGCGCGTCCCTCTCCCTCGCCTCCTCCTCCTAACCCTCCTCAACCTCCCTCCCAGCCCTCCCCACCCCCTCCTTCCGCCCGTCCAACCCCTCACGATGCTTCCACCGACATGCCCATCTTCATGTCCCTTCCCTGCATCGCCACCTGCCCCCCACCACCAGCGTCCCCATACATGGGCGAGCGCGCAGCAGCCTCCTCCTCCAGTCGTCTCCATGCGTGCTCCCTGCCCGCCTGCACGTCCCTCTCCCGCGCCTCCTCCCGCCCTGCCCCCCACACCCTCCCCACCCCCTCCTCCCGCCCTCCCTGCCCTCCCTCCCCACCCCCTCCTTCCGCCCATCCAGCCCCTCACGAAGCTTCCACGGACATGCCCATTCTCATGTCTCGACCCTGCACCCCACCACCCCCAACACCAACACCCCCTCCACCGCCGTCCCCATACATGGGCGAGCGGGCAGCAGCCTCCTCCTCCAGTCGTCTCCACGCGTGCTCCCTGCCCGCCTGCACGTCCCTCTCCTGCGCCTCCTCCTCCAGAAACTGCCTCTGGCAGTCCTCGTAGAGCGCTTGGTCCATTTCAAGAAACATCTTGCGCACGTTGATGGTCAGCCCGTTGACGGCCTGAGAGTGGGAGGGGAAAGGAGGGAAGGAACACCAGTCGCTGGCAACAACAACTGCCCTGGCAGTCCTCATAGAGCGCTTGGTCCATCTCCAGAAACATCTTGCGTACGTTGATGGTCAGCCCGTTAACAGCCTATGAGATGGGTGAGGTAGAGGAGAGATGGAATGGCGGGAGTGCAGTGAGCAGCATTTCATGCACTAGACAAGGGAGGAAACATCAGTCGCTGGTAGCAGAAACTGCCTCTGGCAGTCCTCGTAGAGCGCTTGATCCATCTCCAGAAACATCTTCCTCACGTTGATGGTCAGCCCGTTCACCGCCTGGAGGTTATGGGGCAAGGAGGGGA